TCAGTGTGTCTGCAGGGCTGTCCAGTCCTGGTCCTGGAGGGTCGATCAGTGTGTCTGCAGGGCTGTCCAGTTATGGTTCTGGGGTGTTCCACACTCCCGCCAACCTTTGTGTAAGGAAGTGCCTCCTGTTCTCAGTTTTAAATGCTCTTCCCTGTAGATTCCCTGTGTCCTCTGGTTCACGTCTCAGTCTCAGTGTTGATTCTGAAGCGGTCCACTGCCCCCCTATCTTTGAGGATTTTGAGCGCTTGAATCGGGCCTCCTCTGTTGAAGACTGAAGAGACTCAGCTCCTCCAGCCTGCCAGTGCAGCGCATTCCTTCAGTCCTGCGGAATGTCTCTGCCTGCTCCTCTCTGGACACACGCCAGGGCAACAGGCAGTTCTCGTCACATGGCAACCAAAATCTCCTCTCTCTGTCTGCGCCTGTTGCATCGGCAAGGAGACCAAACCTGTTTGTCTGCTTGCGACCAGGAAATAGATCAAAGGCACAGAGCAAGAGAGCGAGAGAGAGCGAGAGAGCGAGAGACCGAGGGGGTAGTGATCTTCCTCTTCGGCCCCAGGCTTTCTCTCTCACTCCGTCTTCTTGACGCGTTTAAAATGGAGGTCACTGAACTGAAAGAGACAAGCGGGTTTGTTTGACACGGGACAGGAGCGTCCACTAGCCCTGTCTGGCCTCCTGCTGGAAACTGCTTGAACTGAGGACTGTGCTGGGGAAGGAGATCTGCCGTCTGTTCTTAAAGAGCTTTTGTGCTGGAGAGGTGATCTGCTGTTGGTTTTTGAGCGTCTTCGTCCTGGAGAGGAGATCTGCCGTCTGTTCCCGAGAGTTTTTGTGCTGGGGAGGTGATCTGCTGTCTGTTTTTGAGCGTCTTCGTCCCGGAGAGGAGATCTGCTGTCTGTTCTCAGGAGTTTTTGTGCTGGAGAGGTGATCTGCTGTCGGTTTTTGAGCATCTTCGTCCTGGAGAGGAGATCTGCTGCCTGTTCTTAAAGAGTTTTTGTGCTGGAGAGGTGATCTGCTGTCTGTTTTTGAGCGTCTTTGTCCCGGAGAGATCTGCTACCTGTTGTTTAGAGTTTTTGTGCTAGAAAGGAGATCTGCTGTTTGTTCTAGAGAGATTTTGTGCTGGAGAGGAGATCTGATGTCTATTGTTCAGCATCTTGGTGCTGGAGAGGGGATCTGCTGTTTGTTCTAGAGAGATTTTGTGCTGGAGAGGGGATCTGCTGTTTGTTCTTGAGCATCTCTGTAGGGACCAGCCTGGCAGTCACAGAGTCTAGGGGCTCTGAAGGTGCTTTCTTCCAACAGAAGCCCAGCACTCTCTCTTTCTCCTTCTCCAGCTCCTCCTCTCCTTTGCCCTCTGTCTCCCTGTCTCTCTCCTCCTGCCCCTCTCCCTCTCTGACCCCCCGTATCTCTGTCTCACCCCTGTCTCTCTCTCTGTCCCCCTGTCTCTCTCTCTCTAACCCCTGTCTCTTGCTCTCTCCCCTGTCTCCCTCTCTCTCCCCTGTCTCTCTTTCTGGCCTCCTGTCTCCCTCTCTCTCCCCTGTCTCTCTCTGCCCCCCTGTGTCTCTGTCTGCCCCCCTGTGTCTCTCTCTAACACCTGTCTCTCTCTCTCTGTGCTGTTCTGCGTCTCTATAGACAGACAGACAGACAGAGAGATTCCTCATCACTTCCTGTTCGTTGTCTTCCGGCCCCAGTCAGGCCTGGTCTCCAGGGAGCGCCGGACAGAAGCCATGGCTTCTGCGAGGGGGCTGGACCGCCGGACGCTGGACAAGGTGGGGAGGCGCCTGCAGAGGCTGCAGAAGCTGTGTGAGAACCCGCGGCTCGGCCTGCGCAACAGCCCCCCCTACCTGCCGGAGCTGGTGCCGGACACCCTCGGCCACCTGCGGCTGGTGTGGGGGTCCCGCGGGGGGGCGGCGGCGGCCAGCGACGAGGCTGAGTACCTCGGGCTCCTGCTGCGCCACCTGCTGGACAAGGCGGACCGCGCCGTGCTGCTCTTCAAGGACGGGCGGGAGAAGATGTTCGACGAGAACTCCAGCCACAGGTGAGCCCCAGCGGCCCCGGGTTCGAGCGTCAGACGTGGCCTCCCTGCGGTCAGCTCCGGCAGGGGACGGTGGTCTGTGACACAAGGCAGGTCACACATGAGGGGGGCCCTCAGACCATCCAGCCGTGTCTGGCTTCAACAACATGGCTGGGCAGCTTGTTTCACACTCCCACCACTCTCTGTGTAAAGAAGTGTACTAAATGTCTGTGAGCACAGTAAGGTGTACAGTGTACTACTTAATTAACTTTGAGCAGTCTATGACTACAGTAAGCAGTACAGTGTACTAATTAACTAACTAATGAGCACAGTAAGGAGTACAGTGTGCTAAATGTCTATGAGCAGAGTAAGGAGCACCTCCTGTGAGGTGTGATCACAGCCCTGCAGACTTACTGACCGGCCTACCAGGACCTGGACTGGACACTCCTGCTGTAGACAATAGATTCATAGAGCAGAGGTCAGTGCATCTATATGAAGAGCTGAGTAAATCACAGTGAGATCAGGGTAAAAGCACAGTACAGTGCAGGAAGTCACAGTGAGTTCAGGGTAAAAATACAGTGCACTGCAGTAAATCACAGTGAGATCAGGGTAAAAGCACAGTGCAGTGCAGTAAATCACAGTGAGATCAGGGTAAAAGCACAGGGCAGTAGAGCCCAGTAAGATCAGGGTAAAAGCACAGTCCAGTGCAGTAAAGCCCAGTGAGATCAGAGTAAAATAACAGTGCAGTGCAGTAAAGCCCAGTGAGATCAGGGTAAAAGCACAGTGCAGTGCAGTAAAGCCCAGTGAGATCAGGGTAAGAGCACAGTACAGTGCAGTAAAGCCCAGTGAGTGCAGGTTTGGGCACAGAGAGGCTGGTACAGTAACTCATGACACCAGCTGTGGGTGAAACTATGGCAGAGCTTGTCGGCTCAGGGTTCGAGCAGGGTGACCCACAGGGTGTGCAGAGCTTGTTGCCAGAGTGACCAGGGTACCAGGGGAGAGCTGAGCAGCGCAGTCAGACATGAGTAGCAGGTCTCTGACAGCGACGAGGGGGCTGTCTGCAGGCTCGCTGTGCTGGGACGCAGACAGCTCGCCCACGTCGGGGCAGACACCGTCCCTGTTTGTCGGAGCAGAGCTGTTGCCCTGGTTACAGGCGGCGCAGAGGGGAGCTGGTCAGTGAAGTAACGGAAAGTTTCATCAGCCAGGTAGCAGCACAGAGGCTGCAGCCCCTTGAAGGACAGGAAGCTGAGGCAAGAACTTCCTGTTTGCGGTGGCGTTCGCTCTGTCGGGCTGGGTGTGTGCGACTCCTGTCGGTGTGTGTGTCTCTGTGTGTCCCTGAGATTGCAGCTCCTGATAACACACGCTGTGTCCCCACACAGGACAGGACTGCCCTCACCCTGTGGGGGATAGGAGAGTCAATAACAAGGCCCTGAGAGTCAGTGGGAAGTCTCACAGAGACGCTACTACACGTGTGTGTGTGTGTCACAGGAGGACCATGTGTGTGTGTGACTGTGTGTGTCAGTGTGTGTGTCACAGGAGGACCGTGTGTGTGTGACTCTGTGTGCCGTGTGTTTCACAGGAGTACCACTGTGTGTGTGACAGTGTGTGGTGTGAGTGTGTGACCGTGTGTGTGTGGAGCTCTCTCCCGGCCAGTGTGTATCAGGCTCTCTCTCCCTCTCCCAGGAGGAACCTCACCAAGCTGTCTCTGATCTTCAGTCACATGCTCTCCGAGCTCCGGTCCTTGTTTCCGGGGGGACACTTTCAGGGTGACACCTACAGGCTGACCAAGAGTGATGCCGCCGAGTTCTGGAGACGAGCTTTCGGGAGCAGGTGAGGGCGAGGAAGAGAGCGGGCGCCCTGGGCAGTGTGCTCTGACGCAGGCGTGCTAATCTGTCTCTCTCTCAGGTGCGTAGTGCCATGGTCTTCCTTCAAGCAGCAGCTGCGTCAGGTGCACAGCTTCGAGGAAGGCATGGAGTCCATGGCCTTGAAATCAACCCTCGACCTCACCTGTAATGAGCACATTTCCATCTTTGAGTTTGACATCTTCACCCTTCTGTTCCAGGTGCGTTTCTGTAGACAGACTCTTCCACTCTGTGTGTCAGTGTGTCTGTATTAACCCCTCTCTCTCTCTCAGTGCAGTGTTAATGTACTGGAGTGTCCAGTCAGTGTGTCTGTAT